GATATATCACATGCACAAAGAATAATATGTTATGTACTTTAGGTGCTTAAGGTGTGTACTGATGTAACAAATAAAGGCAATTTCACTTTCTTTGTGTTCATTTGTAATACTTCAACAATTTTTACTTAATAATGTGTTCTCTTTTTCTGTCTTCCAGGCTACAATATATTGAATAGTCTTCTGAAATAAAAATAATCATATTTTGGAGGTAGAATCTCAGGCTAGCCAAAAACAGCCCAGCCTTGTGTTAAGCTTCCTTTTTTCACTTTTTATATCTTCTAAAAATGTTTATTTATTAGTTTTTATTTTTTTTGAAAGGGAAAAATCCTTCATCTGCTGGTTCATTCCCCAAGTGTGTGCACAAACCAACCTTGGCCAGACTACTGCCAGGACCCCAGAACTCCATGTGGGTTTCCAGATGGGTGGTAGGATCCCAAGCACTTGGGCCATCATCTTCTGCCCCCAGCTACACTAGCAGGAAGCTACATTTCCAAATGTAGAGTAGCTGGGACTCGCACCAGGTTCTCCATCATGGGATCCATCATCCCCAGGGGCAGCCGAACCCTCTGCAGTACAACACCTGCCCCATCACTTTGTGCAGCTTAGCATCCTCATCCCATCTGTCATTTCCACGTGGTGCTCTTGAGATGCCTGAGGTTTGTTTCTCCTGCTGTCCATGCCTCTCTTTCTTTCTGAATAAGTATCACCATTAACAGTTTTCAGTAGCTTGTACATTTTCCCCCAGGGTTAATTGCAGGTCCCCATACAGACACTGTCACTGCACTTACAGGTGAAATGATAATCACTTCCTGGAAAGGGGCTGAGATCATGGCCCAAAGGCTTTTTCTCAGGTACAAGAGGCTCCTTGCACACATGCCGCAGATCTCACCATGGCATTTGTCGTCCCAGCAGGAAACAATATTTGGTAAGTAGAACTTCCTTTTAGATAGAAATTGCTTAGAAAATGTAAGAAAGACTGTTTGTAAATAAAATTTTTCTCTTCCTGAAATTAGAAATGGACAGAAATATATGCAGGAGATATGTTTTTTGAGAACAAACATTCCTATCCCAGGTCTGCCTGACATTGTCATTTATGTTCTCTGACATAGATTTGTCTGAATTTCAAGGATTAAAGAATGGAAATAACCATTAAAGTTAAAGTTTGTGAAGCCCTGCCACTTAGCTAGATTTGAAGATGCTTTGATGTCCCCAGGCTTCATGAGCTGTTTTGTATCCATTACAGTTTCTAAACTCATTACTCAGGAATGGCTTTGTCTGTTTTAACTAAGATCCAAGAAGAGCTAAGGAAAAGTGAATTCCTGATATTTTCCCAGGATGTGAGATCTGCACAGGTGAGTTCCTAATTGTGCCACCTTTATAAAAAGCAATTTGATTTAAAAAATGAGATGAGCATTAAATAAAAGTTAAAAAAAATGAGATGAGGTTTTATTAGGACACAAATGTTTGCTTTTTAAAAACACAATAGTACTGAATTCACAGAACATTTATATATCCCACAATGAAAGTGAAATTTTATTATTTTCATAAATATTACATAGGATTATATTTTATCTTATCAACTGACCATTTATTCCCGAGTTATAGTAAGTCAAAAAGTGAGTATGTAATATTGTGATAATATTTCTGAACAATTTTAAGTGCTGCTAATATTTAACCATATTAAAAGACAAAGAAAGAATAAGGCAGTGATAAATGTCCTGTAATTTGGGAAGAAATAAAAGTCGTACACGGGCCATGTCCCCCTAATGTACAAGTATTGTATCTTTATTGCAGAGGCCTGTGGTCGTGAGCACAGATGCTGCTCCTATCCAATAGTGTTTTGACTACCTGTTCCTGTATGCTATCTGAATGGGAACCTCATGTTTATGAAAATGAGGATATTGCAGAAAGCAATCACCATGTGCTGATACAATTCAAAAGTTGACCAGAGCTGGGAAATACCAACCCACTTCATTGGGTCTTATACTGTCTACCCTGAAATTATCCACGTACTTGGATTTGTTTTGTTTGCTTCCCTCTCCCAAAAAATTATAGCATTTAAATATTTATTTGAAAGGCAAAGTGACAGAGAGATAGGAAGAGAGAGAAAGGGAAAGAGAGAGAGAAAGAGATCTTCTGTTTGCTGGTTCATTCCCCCAGATGACTGCAACAACCAGGTCTGGGCCAGGCTGAAGCCAGGGATTCCATCCTGGTCTCCCAGTGGCGGGGAGGGGGCAGGGTCCCAAGTACATGGGCCATGAAATTGGATCAGAGGCAGAGTAGCCAAAACTCAAACCAGCTCTCCAATATGGGATGCCCATGTGGCAAGCTACAGCTTAAACCACTGTACCATAACGCCAAGCCATTTTCTGCCATTTATGATCCCTTGTGTATTTTCATTATATTCAGTGGATACTCTCCCCCTTTTGTCTTCACAAGTTTGTTTTATAAATACCAGCACAAATCACATTCTGATGGGGTTTAGTGACTACTAACGGTGTTCTTTCACACAATCCTCTATGCCATATAGTTTTAATCTTACGATTCAACATTTGGGTGGAGTCATTCTATGTCTACTTTTTTCACTATACAAAAAGGAGACATAATATCTTCTTGCTTGAGTTTTAAACATAGTTCAGTCAATGAAAACAGTAGGTTCCTGTGTTGCCCTCTGAACCCATCCATTGTGACATTCTTCATGGACTTGTCATCTGTAGGATGTAGGTGTAGGTGATGCTCCATGGCTATTCTTCTTCCTTTTTTTCTTTTTAAAGATTTATGTATTTATTTGAAAGTCATAGTTGCACAGAGAGAGAAGGAGAAGGAGAGAGAGAGAGAGAGAGAGAGAGAGAGAGAGAGATCTTCCATCTGATGGTTCACTCCCCAATTGGCCACAACAGCCACAGCTGCACCTATTGAAGCCAGGAGCCAGGAGCTTCTTCCAGGTCTCCCACACAGGTGCAGGGGCTCAAGGACTTGGGCCATCTTCTACTGCTTTCCCAGGCCATAGCAGAGAGCTGGATCGGAAGAGGAGCAGCCAGGACTCGAACTGGCGCCCATATGGGATGCCAGCACTGCAGGCAGCGGCTTTACCTGCTGTGCTGCAGCACCGTCCCCATTCTTTTTTTTTTTTTTAGGTGAAAATGACAGAAAAGGGAAAGGCACAATTCTGAATCCTTTCTTTTTTTGTTTTCCATTTTTCTTTTTTTTTATTTTTTATTTTTATTTTTTGGACAGGCAGAGTTAGGCAGTGAGAGAGACAGAGAGAAGAGACAGTCTTCCTTCCATTGGTTCACCCCCCAAATGGCCACTATGGCCAGCGTGCTGCACCGATCTGAAGCCAGGAGCCAGGTGAATCCGGCGCCCTGACCAGGAATAGAACCAGGGGTGCCAGCGCGGCAGGTGAAGGATTAGCCAAGTGAGCCACAGCGCCGGCTCCATTTTTCAATGTGTTCATTTGGTCCCCTATATTCTCTGAATATGAAGATTCTTAATGTTATTAACATATTTTACATGTTTATATGTCTGATTAATTAAAATTATTTGGTGATGAAAATATCTAGTGCTTTGCCATTTGAAATCCCTTGTGTTAGTGTAGCCCCATTGCTTTTTGGTGGCTCCATTATTTTCTTGTACAATAAGAAGTCATGAATTCATTTTCTGTGCCTCCTATCCCACATATGATTTTTTAAAAATGTTCCTAGCCTATTACTTCTTTTTTTGCCTACTTTTTAAAAAATGATTTATTTATCTGAAAGGAAGATAGACAGACAGAGACAGAGAAAGAAAGACAGAGAGAGGTCTTCCATCTGCTGGTTCACTTCCCAGATGGCTTCAATGGCCGAAGTTGGGCCAGTCTTAAGCCAGGAGCCAGGAGCTTCTTCCCAGTCTCCCATGTGGATGCAGGGACCCAAGCAATTGAGTCATCTTCCACTGCTTTTCCAGGCCACAGCAGAGAGCTGGATGAGAAGAGGAGCAGCTGGGACTTGAACCAGCACCCATATGGGATTCTGGCACTGTAGGCGGTGGCTTTACCGAAATGCCACAATGCCGGAGCCCCTTCCTTTATATGATTTTATCCATTTCTACACGAAGCTCATATTCATTTTAATTAAATAGTATGTAGAGAATATGTGTGCATTATATGTATAATAAACACATAATATATTACAGCACAATGTAGAGCATATATAATTTTATATGTTTATACAATTTCATAATTAAAATACTAGTTTTACTGGATCATTATATAATCCTACAAACTTTTCTCTTGTTTTGTTCACAAATTTATTAATAGACATATATTCAAAATATTTTACATAAAACATAATAGAATTATTTCATTTTCTTTTGGTTGAACATAAATTTGACACTTGTTAAGGTTTATTTCTTTATATTTTGTTTACATGTTTTAAAAGCTTTTGGTCGCCCTGTAGTTAAAATAAATAAATATAAAACTTTGAACCAAAGCCACAAATAAGGTACATCGAAAGCAGTCAAATTCTGTACTTTCCCTACCCTTTCTTCTCAATCGCCTACAGATCCATTTTTATAAATTTAAAATATATTTTATTTAAAAAATACAATCACATTCACATGAATAAATGGGTAAATATTATAGCTTGTTTATTAGGAAAGCATCAATATTCTTACATTTTCTATTTTCCATCTGATAGTATGTCCTGAAGGTACAACCAGAGAGAGCGCTTTACGCATCACAGCTGCCTGGCATGAAGATGTTCCATGATTCACTCACTCTCCCATTCATTGACATTGGTTTAGCTCCAGACTTTGTTATTGCATACGCCCCTGCAAGAAATAGCTTTCCGCGGGTGAAAGCGATGCTCTAAATATTCATATTAAGTTGAAAAATTGTTATAAGATCAGATGGTTTTTTTTGGGGGGGGCGGAGTATAATGAGAGTAACCACATTTTCTATTGTATTCAGATTCTTCTGGTTCAAATAACGTCACCCACCAATATCCCTTTAAATTGATGAAATGGTTTCTAGTAACATAGACTTGGGTATCCTTTTCCTTATTCAGACTGGAGCTGGGATCCTTGGAAACTCCTCACTTCTCTGTCTTTATACCTTTACTTTGATCACTAGGCACATGCTGAAACCCACAGACTTGATTCTCAACCACCTAGCCATAGCGAACAACTTGGTTCTTCTTTATAAAGGAATTCCTCAGATACTGGCGACATTTGGGTTAAGATCTTTTCTGGATGATGCTGGATGTAAACTTGTCTTTTACTTACACCGAGTGGCCAGAGGGGTTTCCCTTACTACCACGTGCTTCCTGAGTGTTTTCCAGGCCATTAAGCTCAACCCCAATATCCCAAAGTGGATGGAACTCAATATTAGATCCCAAAAGTACATTGGCTTTTGCTGTTCCCTCTGCTGGATCTTGCATTTCCTATTAAATATCTTTATTGCTATGATTGTTACTGGACCAAGAAAGAGCAAAAACGTAAGTATGGAGAAAGATTACGGGTTCTGTAATTCACCTATTCCAGACAGATCTGTGGTCATATTACATGCGGTCTTGTTCTCCTTCACTGATGTTGTGTGTGTGGCCCTCATGGTCTGTGCCAGTGGCTCCATGGTCTTTGTCCTGCGCAGGCACAAAAAGCGAGTCCAACACATTCACAGTGGCAGCTTTACTCCCAGATCTTCGTATGAGGTGAGAGCCACGAGCACCATCCTGATCCTCGTGAGCCTCTTTGTGTCTTTTTATTCTCTCTCTTCCATTCTGTCTTTTCTGGTAACCCTGAGTGTGAACCCAAGTAGCTGGCTCTTGGTCACCTCCATGCTAACAACTTCAGGCTTCCCAACATTCTGCCCCCTTTTGCTCCTTGCCAGGGACGCCCGTGTGTTTCAGTTCTGTTCTGCCTGTTGGGGAAAAATAATTTTCTAAGTATGCCCATTGTGGGGCTGGTGCTGTGACGCAGTGGGTTAACTCCCTGGCCTGAAGCGCTGGCATCCCAGATGGGTGCAGGTTCGAGACCTGGCTGCTCCATTTCCCATCCAGTTCTCTGCTATGGCCTGGGACAGCAGTAGAAGATGGCCCAAGTCCTTGGGCCCCTGCACCCACATGGGAGATCTGGAAAAATCTCCTGACTCTTGGCTTCAGATAGGTTCAGCTCCAGCCGTTGTGGCCAACTGGGGAGTGAACCAGCAGATGGAAGACCTCTCTCTCTCTCTCTCTCTCTCTCTCTCTCTCTCTGCCTCTCCTCTCTCTGTGTAACTCTGACTTTCAAATAAATAAATAAAAATTTAAAAAGTATGGTCATCGGACAATTAGTGCCTTCCAGAACATACTATTATTTTTCAAATCACACTGTTTTTGTTTGTAGGCTCATGTTTTATGCCATGTAATTGGTTATCGCATTAGGATTAATAGTGAAAAAGCAGCAAAAACTATCTGGCCTCATATTGCTTACAAGCTTGCCAAAAAATGAATATGGTGTGAATAATGACTCAAAGATAGCATTATAAAATTATGTTATTAGTCACTAGGGAATATCAGGCAATAATGATTATGTTGAATCAGGATCTTCAGTAATTTTGGGAACTCTGAGGTAGGAATGCACTGTTTTTTTAATTTTTATTCTTTTTTAAGATTTATTTATGTATTTAAGAGGCAGAGTTACAGAAAGAGAGAGAGAGAGAGAGAGAGAGAGAGAGAGAGAGAGAGAGAGAGAAAGGTCTTCCATCCTCTGGTTCACTACCCAAATGGGGGCAATGGCCAGAGTTGGGCCATTCTGAAGCCAGGCTCCCACATGGGTGCAGGGGCCCAAATGCTTGGGCCATACTTCACTGCTTTCCCAGGACACAAGCAGAGAGCTAGATGGGAAGAGGAATAGCTGGGACTCAAACTGGTGCCCATGTGAGATGCTGGCCTATGCCACAGCACCAGCCCTCTACACACTGTTGATTTAAACTTTGAAGTAATGTACAAAAGATTTACTTGCACTGTCCAAGTGTAATGAGTGAACAGTGTTTCAAATGGAAAGAAAATGACCAAGAAATATGTTGAGTTGGGTTGGCACTAGCATCTGTCTGTATGTTTATTTATATCTATGGGTATATGCTATGTAGACATGTTTCTTACCTCTGGATGCTATTACTAAATTAACTTATAAAATCTCTTAAAAGAGTCCTATTCAAATTGACTTACAGACAAGTGAGTGCTTGTATAAATTAAATAATTCTAAAATTCCCAGAAATATATACAAATTCAAATGCTTTTCAAGTGCACGTGATTCAGATAAATGTTTGATATATAAGATGAGTTTAATACTGTGCACTTACTCCTCATGTAGGATCTCGGTCCTTAATGTGCTGTACATTGTGATATAATGCTATAACTAGTATTTTTCACTTTGTGTTTCTATGTGGGTGCAAACTGTAGAAATCTTCACTTAATATATGCAAAACTGATCTTCTGTATATAAAGAGAATTGAAAATGATTCTTGATGTGAATGGAAGGAGAGAGGGAGCGGGAAAGGGGAGGGTTGCGGGTGGGAGGGAAGTTATGAGGGGGGAAGCCATTGTAATCCATAAGCTGTACTTTGGAAATTTATATTCATTAAATGAAAGTTAAAAAAAAAGAAATTACCCCCCAAAAAATACTGTTGATTTAGTAAGGACAAATCAGGTATTTCTTCTGCATTGTCACTGTTAAATACAAGCATAAACTCAGCCAATCACAGCAGCTGAGCTTCAGCTACTCACAGGCTAACAACAGATCAAATGATGTCCACAAAAGGCAGATGCTCATCACACTGTGCCCAAATAAGACAAATGTATAACTGTTTTGAAGGTCACTTCCTTTTTTCTGTCTGTGCTGTCTGCTCATGTTACTAAGTGGACCTGTTCTGAGAGCTGCACTGTTGTAGAATCTCAAATAAAAGCCAGTTCAGCAGGTTGGCACTGTGTCACAGCAGGTTAATCCACCATCTGCAGTGCCGGCATCCCATATGGGTGCTGTCTGGAGACCCAAACGCTCCACTTCCTATCCAACTCCCTGATAATGGCCTGGGAAAGCAGCACAGATGACCCAAGTGCTAGGGCCCCTGCTACCTCCATGGGAGACCCAGAAGAAACTCCTGGCTCCTGGTTTCGGATCAGCCCAGCTCCAGCTGTTGGCGGCCATCTGGGGAGGGAACCAGCAGATAGGAAGATCTCCTTCTCTCTCTCTCTCTCTCTCTCTCTCTCTCTCTCTCTCCCCCCCTCCCCGTGTCTCTGTAACTCTGCATTTCAAATAAAATAAATAAATTTTTATTAAAAAAGTGGAGCAGCCAGGACTCGAACTGACACCCATATGAGATGCCAGCATTGCAGGCAGCAGCTTTACTGGCTATGCCACAATACCGGCCCCAATCCATTTTTTAATTTTTATTTATTATAATTTAATTTGAAAGGAGAGACAAAGAGAGAGAGAGAGAGAGAGATCTTCCATCTGCTGTTTCACTCCCTAACTGCCAGCAACAGCCAGGGTTGGACCAGTTCAAAGGCAGGAGTCCAGAACTTCATCCAGGTCTCCTATGTGGGTGGCAGGGACCCACGTACTGAGCCATGAGCTGCTGACTCCCAGGGTGTGCATCAGCAGGATCTGGAACAGAAGAGAAGACTTGAACCAGGCACTCCAACATAAGATGTGGATATTCCAAGCAGTGTCTTAATCACTGCACCAAATACCCACCTGGTTTTTGCTTTTTCCATACTTGTCTAACAATTATATGCTACAAAAGTAGTTAATAAGGAAATAATTTAGGTGATGTCTAGCTTTGTTTAATGCTACAATATGTTTGTATGAAACAGTTTTCAACATGTTTGGTAAGCTGTGACCTTAAAGTTAGGACAAGTTAAATTAAGTAATAGGTATTCATTAAATGTCTAATTAGTTTCTAAGATAAACTACTGAAACATTCACTTCTGAACTTAACTTTATATGATTTTGTCCTCTTATTTTTACACAGCATAGAGAAGCTAAAGATACATGAATCTGTCAATAAATGTTATCTTTGCCACACTGAGAATCCGTACTGTGAAGTGGTATATAAGTATAAAATAGCGACATAAAATGTCACTTAAAATGTTCTAGTCTGCTTTGTGACAGACTATTCAAAGTCATCTACTGCCTGGCTTTCTCTGTAAAAGTTTACTAATGGCTAAAAACCATAATCAATAAATGAAAACGGCTGGCGCCGCGGCTCACTAGGCTAATCCTCCGCCTTGTGGTGCCAGCATACCGGGTTCTATCCCAGTCGGGGCGCTGGATTCTGTCCTGGTTGCCCCTCTTCCAGGCCAGCTGTCTGCTGTGGCCAGGGAGTGCAGTGGAGGATGGCCCAAGTACTTGGGCCCTGCACCCCATGGGAGACCAGGATAAGTACCTGGCTCCTGCCATTGGATCAGCACAGTGCGCCAGCCGCAGCACGCCGGCCGCAGCGGCCATTGGAGGGTGAACCAACGGCAAAGGAAGACCTTTCTCTCTGTCTCTCTCTCTCACTGTCCACTCTGCCTGTCAATAAATAAATAAATAAATAAAAACACAACAGCTGAAAACAATAGGAGAAATAACCATGAATAGTAAGCATGTGTTCTTATGTTCTTTTTAATATAAATAAGGCAATGAGATATGAAGAATGTGTTTTTGCTAAGGGAAAATGAGAATGGTTTGTTGTTCCAGAATGAAAAAGAGAAATACAGAAAAGAACCCATTCCTTCTTTTAAAACCATAAATAATCTCAACTTTCAATTTGAAAATCATTTCCCAGGAAATAACTCATAAATGAGGTCATGGTGTTCCAAGTCTTTGTTTCTGAGTTCAGATGGCATCTTTGCACATGTGCTACCAGTGTTAGGGCCATGTCAACCCCATCTTGGCACATAAGAACGTTTGTAACGGCCTTCTTTTCGGAGAGGTGGCATATTCTCAAACAAAAATAAGCATGTCTTCTTTGGGACTGGGAAGTACCATTCTGATATGAGTGTTGCCCCCCTGGTTGGATACCACCCTTCACTATTCAAACATAAAAGTGCCTGCTTGACCACCTGTGTCAGAGCAGCCAGTAATTCTTCTCATGTCTTCCTCTTTATGGTCCAGTCAGGGAAACTTTGAAGAAACCAGTGGAAAAGTCCCACATTAGTTCACTTGGGAGCTCTAACATCCCCACAGTCACTGCCTGCAGGCAATTCTTCCATTCCATGGCTTTCTCTATGGACAATTCACTTTTACCTCCAACCCGGTTGATGCTCACAAAACTGAATTAAAGCTTCCCTCTATATGTGTTTTTTTTTATTTATTTATTTATTTGAAAGGCAGAGTTACAGAGAGCAGAGGCAGAGAGAGAGGTCTTCCATCTGCTAGTTCACTCCCCAGTTGGCTGCACTGGAGCAAGGAGCCAGGAGCTGCCTCCAGGTCTTGCATCTGGGTGCAGAGCCCAAGGACTTGGGCCATCTTCTACTGTTTTCCCAGGCCATAGCAGAGAGCTGGATCAGAAGTGGAGCAGCAGACCTTGAACCCATGCTCATATGGGATGCCGGCAATGCAGGCGGTGGTTTTACTTGCTATGCCACAGCGCCAGCCCCTCTACATGTATTTTTAAAACCAAGAGAGTATTGGAGCAAAGATACAAGCCTCAGCCATTTTAGCTCCTTGCCTAGAAGGAGATCCAATCCCTGACTCCTTTGCCCTTACAGTCTTAAACCAGCTCAACAAGCCCTGTATTGTTCCCCACCCACCCTCTGCACTCTGCTTCAACTAACCTGGCTGACCCAGAGGGAGGCCCACTGAGTTTGGAAAGCCAGCGCAAAACCCATACAACTAGCCCAGCTCCTGACCCTCACCCTCCCCAAAGCTATTAAGACCCAGCCTGCTGGAGGGCTGGGCCCTCTGCCACCTGCTTGCC